CTGCTTGGCATTTCCTTCTCTGGTTTTGCTAGTATCAGGTTGGCAGATACATAACTGCGCTCTTAAAAACTGACCCAGAATTACGCAACTGTCTTTAATGAACCTTACAATAAAACCATTACCACCTTCAGCTTTTAGGAGCAGGGGAATGCCGTTACACTTTTGATGCTTATTGAAACGCATTCTACTGCTGATCCGGAGCCCACAGGAATCAATGGCAGTTCTTCCATTTTCAGCTCAATAGGCTGTGGGTCAATGTTTTAAACTCAATTTGAAGGAAACTGGTTTTTCAAGCAGCTTCCTCCATCCGTAGCCCTGCTGAAGCTGACAGGTATCCAGATGTCTAACAGAGCCAGCTGTAAACCCATCACCCAGCCTTTCATTCCGTTCTCTTTTCATTTCCTGTCTAACACTTAATTCTAAATATGTTACCTTCGATGCATCAAGTTGGCTTTGTACGTCCGTGTTTCCCTGCAAGCTTCCTAGCCCACAGAATGTGTACATCCATACATATTCCTCCTTTCCTTTCAGAGAAAAATATATTAATTTTTTCAGGTGAGAAACACAGAAGACAATATAACATCGTACATGTAATACAAGACTCAACGCTCCCAGAAATTCATTAAGCCCTTACCTCGTGGCCAAGTGTATTCCTCATAAAAACACCCAATATGAATACTTGAAACAACCACAAAATTCGTTATGTCTTAAACCCCGCTGTTGTTTTATTCACCCTCCAGTTAAAAACTTACACCTTATGTTCAAATCTGAACTGGTTTAGCTTCAGCTCAGGCTTTGCAGCTGAAAAGCCTGCCTTCTGATAGAAGAAACAAAAAAAATATAAAATCCTTCAGTACAAAAGGAAGGCGGCTTCTCCCTCTTCCCCTCCCCCAGGCCCACAGAGGTGCTCTGATAAAATCCCCTCTTAGCCTTTTCCTAGACAAGCCAAATAAATTGAGCTTCTTCAGGCTCAGATTTTTTAAACCTCCGAACAATTCTTTGAGCTCTGTCTAAGAACTGGCCAGAGCCCTGTTCCCGTAGTCCACCGAGTCACCGTGCCACACAACCAGAGAAATCATTCAAACGGTAGCTTGGCTGTGGTGTCCCAACCACAAAATTATATGTTTATTTTTTTCCACCACTTTTTTTTTTGTTGTCATTTTATTGATAAAAACTACACAAAAACTAACTGATCATAATAATTAATTAAAAAAACAAAAAACAATGTTACACATTCTCCTGTGTTTTAGAAATTGTGTCAGCCAGTGAGTTTCACCAAATACTCTTGCTTTAAAAGATTTGCCTTCTGATCCATTTCGAGCATATCACTTCCATTTTGGTTCCCAAACGTCCATTAATTTTGCTTAACAAGCACCGCTGGACTGTAAATACGAGAGTCGTTACTCCGTTGCATGTTTCCCCCTTTTTTAGAGCCCAAAAAGTAATTATAGTGTCAACAATGAAGCACAATGAAGATAGTAAAAATCAAAAGCACCCTCCATAGTGTACAGCCTGTGTCTTAAATGTACATGCACCCAAGTTTCTTTGTTTCTGCTGCATCAATTGCCAATGTCCTTTTGGTTCAACATAAGCCTTAATGCCCATGTCTGGTTTGAAATATTAGCGCTTGACCACTAAAAAAAAAAAAAAAAAAAAAAAAAAACCCAACCAAAAAACCAAACCCCCAAAAGAAAAAAAAAGAAAATATATATCTGTCTTTTGTTTGTTTAAAAAGAACAAAAATATTAAACAAATCTTTGAAGAGTAATAAACACTTAATAAGGAAACATGGCTGACCCACCCCACCCCTTGCCCTCCCCCCCGCCTTTAATTTTTACCTGTGGTTCTCCTTCCCTGGAACCGTGCAATGTAGAAAAATCAAATATACAAACAAAACTCTTAATCCATCCCTTTATGTAGCTAGAGTGAAATCTATTTTTTTTTTTTTTAATAAGAACTTGACAATCTCTCTTTAATATTTACATTGAGGAATTTGTTTGAAAGTTTAAAGCAAAGAAAATCCTGAAGTTCTCAGTGTGTACTGCAAGATAGCATTTCCACAGTCTGCGGAGCTTGCTTTATCCCCTTCCCTTTGTCTGTGTTGGAACATTTGTAACTGGAATGGTAGATTTTAGTTTCTTGCCCTGGTCTCTTCTGAGATGAAAGGTCCCTCAAAAGAACTCCCCACTCCGCCCCCTGAAGAGGATGTCGCCATCGTTAGTTTGGTATTCTCTCAATGTAAATGGCTGGAGCAGCCGAACGTGCGATTGTAGCTATGAAGCTGTGGTCTCGACTGAGTTCCAGGTTGGTTGTCTCAGCCTGCTCCCGGGACATGGTATCGTACCCCTTATTTACATGGAGAGGCTTATGAGCTTGGCAGTATCCGATCACTGGTTGGTCATAACTGTAATAGGGTAAAGTCTTCATGTGGTGAGGAACCTGCACCAGAGAAACAGAGATCAAAAAAAAAAAAAAAAGAAAGAAACATGTAAATAATGTGCTTAGTCACGCATTTCATACATCATCTATCGCAACGCAGCCTCAAACCCATGGGTCCTCCGCACATCCGCGTTCGTCGCACAGGTCTTGCAGAGAGAGAAGCCCTCCAGGTTGCCTGTAGCACATGCAGATCCCTCCCGAGCAGGACCACTTAAACCCACGTCAGTCAGTGGGTCCCCACTGGTGGATGGACGCTACAGCCGCTGAAAGCCTGTGGAATGACAGACTGGTTCTGGCCCTTGGCAGCGTGCTGAAGCCAGGTTAGAGGGGGCTACTCTCCATTTCGGCGACTATGTTTGTGGGCAGACTTTCAAAAGCGGTCCTGCGTGCTGAATTCCGACCTCTTTTGGGCAATCTGGCTATGAAGGGTAAACTGGAAGCTGCATACCTTTGAATACAAACCTTTGGCAATCTGGCTATGAAGGGTAAACTGGAAGCTGCTGGTAATACAAACCTTTTAAAAACTGGCCCTTCCTCCAGCGCCTCGAAAAGGGCTGAGCATTTCTACAATGCTCAGACCAGCTTGAGCATGTCAAAGGACTGGAAAACCCGGCTGCCAGCATGTGCAGCTTTCAGCACAGCTGGACACAGGTTTATTTCTTCTACGACAAAGCTGTTTGCCCAAGGTCACGATTTCCTGGGTTCTTTATCTTACAACCTCACCAAGAGAAACACTATCAAAGAGCTTCAACTGACGCCCGCTGGAGCTGAGCAGACCCACACCTTGTAAAAATGCTCATGTGCTTGAAAAGTCTGCAAGATCTACCCTGGACCCCATCTCTCTTCTGTATGTAAACACTCAGAAACTGCCCCAACCTTCTTTTTTTTTTTTTCCCCATAAATGTTCTATGCTTGCAAATGTTAATCCTACAGCTAAATATGATTTATGGCACAACATCAGATACAAATCTTTGCAGATAATTTTATCATCTGCAAGAGATGAGCTGATGAAGTAGAAAGAAATATGCTCTTAGGCAAAAAAACCCCACACGCTGCAGGAGATCCAGGCAAGAGTTTATTCTGACACTGCTAGAAAACCTGAGCTCATTACAGCTGGAGATATCCTCCACATAATTCAATCTTGTAACAAATGCCTTTTTATTTTCCATGCCGAACTTCAAGTGAAGACTAGAGAGCTAATTTATCACAAATTTCCATTGCATGGCGCGCTTCATACAAAAAGGTATGAAAAAAAGCAAAGGCATTAAGACTAATTGCAAGTTTTGCAGGGTTAGAGTTCCTCTTGCATTTGGAACTCCTTGGCAGCTAGATTCTTCCCCCCCTGCTTCTCTGCAGAATGCTGGAGAGAGTCCAAAACTCTTCCACTAGTTGGAATTCAGCTGAAAACGTCATTTTACGTGACAGTTGAATGGCAAGAACGCAGAAGGCAAGCTGCTCGGCAGAATTTGATGGGACAACTGTGTTCACTTGCGGATCAAATTCAGCCACAGTGCAAGAAACTACAACTCCCTCTGGACACAGCAGTATCTATGCCAGTTTCTATCAAGGCTTGAATTTGTCCTCAGCCTTTAAGGCAGCTCTTTATGATTCCATAAAAGCCAAGGACTGTTTGTGTTCTGGAGAGTTGAGAGATTGAGGTCCCGGCTTGACAGCAATAATACACAGTACATTAACCACCTGAGTCCTGGGTGCCGCGTCGTTTGCTTGTTTTCTCCCCTTCTCCAAACAGGAGTCAAAGGGATCTCAACAACATCCCGAAACGGTGGATAAACATGCTTCCTTTTCAACTATTTCTCAGTAGTTTTATGGAATCTCTCGCTTGTTTTCACTTAAAAGTCAGGTTCGCGTGTGTCTGAAATCATATTAATAAGGGTTGCCGTGCCACGTGTGTGGAGGGAAGGTGGAGATTCTTTATCAGTGTAAAAAATAAAATAGGTGTAAAAAATAAAATAGGTGTATCAGGCAACCCTTGAGATTAAGACGTTGCAGGGTAACTTGTAGAAAGCATTTCTAGGATAATGAAGCCCAACAACGGATTTGCACCTCCCTGTTCTCAGGCCTGGCCCTTGTACTACGCTTCCTCTCCCTCTTTTGGGTGCTAAACCCCAGTAAGGGAATTAAAAAAAACCCAAACCAACCAAATCAACAAATAATGTCAAATGACTGTAAAGTACTTCCAGTAAAGACTGACTGAAGAAATACCATGAGCCTCCCCCCTCCCAAGTTAGTCCTCATGATACCTCTAGAATCGAGGTAACCACCATACGAGCAATTCAAGAAAGAACCTTCCTGATCAAAGTGAAAGCCTCCAGAGGACTGTCCCCCCCCCCAAAATGGGGTGCCGTTTCCTTCCCTGAAACGACTTCTCTGAAACATAATGTTGCATTGTCAGAAAGACACGAGGAATCAGTTTTCATTGGCAGTGGAAGGACCGTACATGAAACCCAAGCCCACAAAAGCTTTTTCAGGACACAGTCTTCACTGTAGAAACTACTGCAAATGGGGGCAATTGTACCACCACTCAGTTTGATGCAAGTAAAAAAGATGGAGAACACTGATGACGTTCACACTGAACAATGCTGATACTATCGCATTTTTTCTGATTCAGAGATCAACAGAACATATTTAAGACCATCTAAGGTGTTGAAAATTTATTTCGTAAGTATTTTTGCTCCAGGTTCTGAAGTAACTTCTTTCTGGTTTCATTATTGCTATGGAACTAATGCCTGAGATACTGAGAGATGTGACCTTGGACAAGTCATTTTATGAGCTGGAAAATGAGAAGATTAAGTCCTGCCCCTGCTTGCCCTTGAAGACTAGAGCTCTTTGAAGCAAGGGCTGTTTGTGCAGGGACCAAAACAACACAACTCTAACCTAAGCTGGGGCCTTTCAGCTGCTATAGCCTCCTAGAGACAAAAAAGCAGATGACTTGAGCGGAAAAAATCTGAACAGGTCCCTAAATACCTCAGCAAATAAGTACAGGCTCTGGGATTCTGTCATCTCTATCTCAAGGCCTTTTCCACTGAAGACACATTTTTTGCTGGCTAGAAAGTGGGAGTAAGGCTGAGTAAGGCTGAGAAAGTAAGGCTGCCCAGGGAGGTGGTCGAGTCCCCATCCCTGGAGGGATTTAAAAGAAGGAGAGATGAGGTGCTTAGGGGCAGGGTTTAGTGGCGGGGTGGCAGGGTTAGGGGAACGGTTGGACTCGATGATCTTAAAGGGCTTTTCCAACCTAAATGATTCTATGATTCTATGAATTTACCTGCCAGCAAACCAAAGGCAGAGCCAAGGAAAGAACTGGGATCCCCTAGCATGGTGTCCTTCGCTGTCTCCTCCACGCCACTCCACTGCCACTAACCACAGCCATTTGTGCTACAAAATTCTTTAAATTTCACTTTGGAAGAAGTTAAATCGTAAATGAAGATAAAGAGTTGCTCACATGGAAACACAACAGATACAAAACAAAACTCTTTCATATCATCTGCTGTAACATCTGATTCGGTTCTTGGCTTGTGGCTCATTCATGGTTATGCTCCATGACAGCACGGTCCGGTGCAGCCGGTGGAGCTCAGGGGTGGGACGCAGAATGCCAAGACGTTTAACAGGAGATGATGCGTGTGTCTGTTCACAGAGTTTTCTGAATAATTTCTATTTTCATTTCTAAAAACGACATTGCCTGATACTGCCTTGAAGGCCTAAAACTTTTTGCAGTAGGAAAACCACAAATCAACAGGAGAAAGCACTCACTCCAAAGTCACTGATGTAGATGTGATGGATATTTTGGTTTTAGCCTATGTATGGCACCAAGCAGGGTGTCTTCTGCTCTAATGCCATATTATAAGGGAGCACATTGCCTATCCAGCGTTGCAGATAGTTGATTAAGCCAATGAATGACTCCGTGCTCTGAAGAAAGCACCGGCTCCACTACGCAATGAGCTTTCTGCCTTACAAGCGCTGTAAGTGTTCAGCGCGGGTTTGGGGATAACAGGCTGGATTAGTTAGCTAGTATTGACTTCTGAAGTCCACACCTCTGTAGATCTTCACTCTACATGCAATAAACATTGCATCTCAGCAGCCACCCACTTCAAACAAAGGTTCTGCTACAAGAAAAATTTACATAAATCCCCAGCTACAGGAGGAAGATAAAAGATTTAGCGTCGGAAATTTAAGAATGCAAATCTTCCCTTTCGCAGTTGAATTGACATTGGAGAGGTTACCAGCTCAACAGCCGTGCTGCCGAATAACAGTTCCCTTCAAAACAAGCTGGACTAACTTGAGTTTACCTGAAGTTCAGTGAAATTCCGGCCTGCATTAAAAAAGATATTTCCCAACATTCCCTGTCCACTTTTCCTTTGCCATTCAGCAATGATGTTCAGCTAAACCATTAGTCATTCCAGCATGCAAACACTCGTACCCACATTCCAATTCAGGTGTTCTGTCTTTTTAATATTTTTTTTTACGCTGCACCGAATTTTATCAGCAGCTTTACTTGCTTATGTCAGAAATATTGGGAGGCACATTAGCTAACTTAATGTATACATTTCTGATGATTATTACACAAGCCAGTTCTATTTAAAAATTCCAGTGATAAGAATTCAGCTTGGACTTCTGCTTCTCATAGGTGCAGCCATTAAAACCTAGATTTTTACCAAAACATGAATAAAAATCCTTATTCTGGAAGTTGGAAAGTAGATCAGTAAAGATGTAACCTCACCGTATAGCTGCTAAATCTAGTGAGCTTTAAAGAATATTGGATTTGGGCCTAAGTGAATATCAGGTGACCCTATTTCTAAAATACTTTTCTCTCTCTCCCCTGCCTCTCATAGTCTGTTAAACACTCCTGTACGCTCTTTATTGCTTGCACTGCCTCCTAACAGGAGGCTTCAGACAACCTGAAATTCAGCCCCGATAGGAACTCTAAGGTTTGACACCTCTCTATCAAGTACTGCCAAGAGGGTTTAACAGAATGCCACGTTCTTCCT